GTTAGTCTTTGAGTTTGTTAATATAACCAGATGTTTCTAGAATGGACACTTGAGTGTGTGTACTGTAAGACACTTGATATGTTAGTCTTTGAGTTTGTTAATATAACCAGATGTTTCTAGAATGGACACTTATACTACACTTATTTTATGTCAGTTTCTGAATTTTTTAAGAATTTCACCTCTATCTGGATCACAGAAGAGTTTCAAGTGAATTGATCCAGGTGTTCGAAATCATTGGGGGATTTGAATGGCTTTTCTTTGGATGATATGTTTGAGTGTTAGAATGAAAACATTGAAAATATAAATGATTAGCAGGAGTAAATTTAACCTTTGAGCCCAGATGTAGACTTGTTCTTTGATTAGAAAAATGTTTAGTTACATATATATGGAGTAGTCATCTTGATGAGTTGATATGTGTAATTCTTATTGAACATCTGTTTCACACATGCTGGTATATGAATGTAATAGGCTGCATTTAATTTAATTTTGGCATTTTAGAGGGTTAGGCTAGGGATAACCTCAATGTGTCCAGTAGCATCCTCTTATGTCGCACTCTGAAATTTAAGTGTAAATTGTGAAAGTTGAAATAAAATTTGGTATTGTTCTCTTTACAGGTGGATATTTGTACAGATTTAGGAGACACGCACAAACCAAGACCCTGGAGTAAATATTCTCAAGGAAGTTCTGCCTTTCAGAAAAAAAAATGTGCAGAAAAATGATCATACAGAAGAAAAGGTATATACTGGGTCATGTTATATTTTATTAAAGTGTAAAAATAATTGCCTGTGGTGGAAAATTAATGATGTTCTGGTATATCTTCCACTGACTTTTCAGTCATCATAAATTGTCTTCCACTGACTTTTAAATCATCATAAATTGTCTTCCACTGACTTTTCAGTCATCATAAATTGTCTTCCACTGACTTTTCAGTCATCATAAATTGTCTTCCACTGACTTTTCAGTCATCATAAATTGTCTTCCACTGACTTTTCAGTCATCATAAATTGTCTTCCACTGACTTTTCAGTCATCATAAATTGTCTTCCACTGACTTTTAAATCATCATAAGTTGTCTTCCACTGACTTTTAAATCATCATAAATTGTCTTCCACTGACTTTTCAGTCATCATAAATTGTCTTCCACCGACTTTTAAATCATCATAAATTGTCTTTCTCTGACTTTTAAATCATCATAAATTGTCTTCCACTGACTTTTAAATCATCATAAATTGTCTTTCTCTGACTTTTAAATCATCAGGGGATGTCTTTCGCTATTTTAAACCACCATAGGATATTTTTCACTAATATTCAAGGATTGTGGGAAGTCTTTAATTTTTTTCATGCTATTTCAATATTAGTTGGACAAGGCAACAGTTACCTTCTTTAGTACAATTTTACAAATTAATCATTTGTAAGTCTTTTCTTCTAAGTTATCCATCGTTAAGTTTTTGAGATTGTTTGCTTGTCTGTAATTAAATACAGCAAAAAAATGGCGCACAATAGCCCCATATTTGTAATGAAATGAGAATAGAAACAGAATAAAACGAGTTTCGTTAAATATTGAAATTAGCTTGAATTCTTCATAACATCTGAATAGTGGGTGACCCAACTGTTACTATGGTGTATATTAAAGACCGTGTGATAAGAAATAATTTCGGGTCACTTTTATGAAAATTTCTAGCATGAATAATTTTACATCACACTACCATTCGCACTCTTTACGAAACTCCTTACTTTACTTTTTTGAAAAATGAAATGGTTTTTCCTTTTACTCCCGATCAACAATCAAATATCTTATCTTGAATTATGAATAACACGAATGGATTGAAATATTTAATTAAATTATCTCAAAATAAACCTTCATTTCGGTGCAATATTGAAATCAGCTCGAATTCTTCATAACCTATGAATAGTGGGTGACCCAACGGGTCACGGGTGGTCTAGTATAATATAACATTCTAGACTACACCCTTTTTTTTAACTTATTTTGTTGCATGCAGTGTGCATTTGGAGCACAGGTTATAGAAAACTAGTAATCCATTTTACTGTAGAAACAGCTACCAGTGTTTTCATCAAGTGATATTAAAATGCAATAATAAGGGATTTTTTGGCACATCGGGGATATCCTGATTCTCACCTTCCCTCAAGAAAAAGAAACTAATCAGGAAATCTTTCCCTTGTATTTTAAATATTCATTATTAAACTCCCGTAAAGTTGTAGCTTTTTCCACTTTAGATGGAATTTGTTTCACAGATTTATTAACCCACTTTCTTTCTCTACTGTAGCTCTGACTGATCTTTCTAAAGCTTACAATTATAACCTCTTGTCCTATTAATTTCAAAATTCATCACAAAAAAAAAGACGCTTCATCTCATAAATTCCCTGAAATAATTTTTAAAGTGTGGCTTTAATTGAGTCCTACTTCACTTGAACGTTTTTGTTAACGTTTACGTTATTCAAATAAATCTAATTTTGTTGAGTAGTTAATGCTCATGTAAGAGATATCCAAGAAATTAAAAAAAAAGAAATCAAATTTGTTCAACCAAAAGAAGAAAATTTTATTTAAATCTCTGTAGCTCTCAAAATTCCATTATAGGCGATAGAAAATTTTATTTAG